ATTGTGTTTGACATGCGTTTGCATGTGTTTTGCACTGCATTTATCATGCAGTTGCAGTGCTTTTTGGGTTTGGCTTTCTTCTATTTCCTTTGAGGTCCCTATTTCTTCCTAGTTTGTAGAGAGAGAAGCATGTCCCATCATTGGTGCAGGCAGACAAGGGTTCCATGTGATCACTGGGGGTCCATATGATCACTGCACTGTGTTCTGAAAGACTTGGACTGATATGGCTATCCTGATAAACACATGGAGTCATCAACTTGCCAGTGTTCTCCTTCTGTCTGTCCATTTCTTCATAATCTGGGTAAATTCTTGCGGTAGTTTTCTCCCAGATCTTCCTTTTTTCTTCTGTTGTTTTTGTAATGCTTAGGTCTGGGGTCACAGAGCACCGTGTTCTCCAGGACCATTGTCATTAAGTTCTCTGCATTTATGGGTGACCTGTATGCCATTATGGCTGTACACTGGCTCTCCACACACACCATGTGCACAAATTCAGGAAACGGAATGAGGAAGGGCAGGTTATAATATTCACTAATTAAAAGAAAAAAAATATATATATTCATTTTTTTTTTTCTTGGGAACATTGTGGTGAAGTGCAGTGCATTTGAAGCGCATCTACAGTGCAGAAAAATGCAACCTGCTCTACTTTTTTTTTTTTTTTTTTAAGCTGCAGTGATGTGAACTCTGCCTATAGGAGTACATTGATTATGACTGTCTATGCAGTTGGAGTGCAGTCCAAAATGCAGACAACTGCATCCTACTGTGTTGGGTGTGAAAGGGCCCTTACCTTGTTTTTTGCAACTGAGCCTTGTGAAAGTAGCTTAAGGCCAGGGTTCACACTGTTGTGTGGTGATACAGACGCATTACAACTTTAGGCTTCTAATTACAAAACTCTTAGGTGTGAATGGGGCTTTACAGTTTGATATTTTTTCATACTGGTTACTTTCCATGCATCCTTTGTAGTGACTTTGTTATATTGTAGGAGCCCATTCACACTTGTGCGACTTGTTCTGCGACTTTTAGGTCTATAGTCGCATGAAAAGTCACACCCCTTGTTTCCCAATAAGTGCCATTCATATCTGCAACTTGATAGTAGTTCCTACACGACTTTTGTGCGACTTGAATAGACGTTTGTGCGACTTGAATAGACTTCAGTGTAGACTCTCAAAAGTCGCATGAGTTGCACCTGAATGTTATATATGTGAATTGTGTGCGACTTTGAACAGCATAAACAACCTTCCTTGGTCAAAGCCAAAGTCGCACTCATCCAAAGTTGCCTCAAGTCGCAATGAAAATTGCGTAATTCTGCAGTCGCACAAGTGTGAAAGGAGCCTAACAAGTGTTCCTATACTGTTGTGCAGGATGTGGTTTAGGCCACATAAACTCCTGTGCTTTTACCTGACGATGTGTAGGTGCGAGAAAATCAGTGGTGGATCCTGGTGATTAGCTGCAGGAGGCGGCACCATTGAAAACATGAGGTTGCCAACCTCTGCCGCTAACTGCTGCCACTTGCATGTAATCACTATGCTGCGATTATCTGCAAGTGATCGGCCTAGAACCTAAACTGCATCCCAGGCTGATCACTCGCAGTAATTTCCGCATAGCGATTACATGCAAGAGGCTGCAGTTAGTGGTGGGAGCCGGCTGCCTCATGCAGCTGATCGCCGGGACCCACCGCTGACTTTATCGCATCTACACACTGTTGGGCAAAAATGCAGGTGTAAATGTAGCCTTATTTTGCAGACTTGCACATTCTAGATTTTAGTACTGTTCTAATTGATCTAGACCACTTCTCTGTCCTTGGGCTGCATTCACACCAGAGCATTATGTAGCTTGAAGCTGAAAAACACTCAAACTTAAATCAATTATTTCCTATGGTGCTTGTTCACTCCTGACCATGTAAATGCTTGTAACTCAGAAAAGGTCCGGAGATTCTTTAGTAAGTCAAATCGTGCAGATTGCATTTTTTTGAGTCCTATAGAATTGCATTGGTGCACACATTTTAAAACGGTTCTAAAGGTTGTACCTTTTACAGTAAAAAAAAAGAAAAAAAAAAAAGAAACCTGCTATAATTACCATCGCTCAGGGCAGTGGTTTTACACAGAGCCCCAATCCTCTTCTTTTTGGCTCCCTTCGCTTCCACCTCCTGAATGCCCTCAATAGGAAGCCTCTTGCTATGGGGGTACTCAAGCAGGTTCCCTCCCAAGCCACACTCTTGTGAATGAACATTGTCCATTCACACAGAACGTAGCTAGGTCCTCTCCCGCTTTCTCCTCTTGTGGCTCCCGTTGCTGTGTGAGCCAATGGAGCTCCCTCCTGACTGAATTTGACTGACAGCAGCGGGCGCCAATGGCTCCTGTTGCCAGTCCCTGTGTGAAGAGGTAGAGAGGAGACTGCAGCTAGGCACAGCGGTGGTCTGAGTGAGAGAGGCAAGTAAAAGGGGGGCAATTCTGCTGCCTAAACATACTATTTTTTTTTTTTTTCTTAATGCAGGGAATGCATAAAGGCAACAAGTTTAGGCTTCAGAGCGACTTTAGAGATGATCTCCGTTGTAATTGCAAGAGCTGTGCACTTTGCCTCTTTAAATTGGCCCTGTATTGCCTATTGAACATTTACTGTTTGGTATGGGTTTGCCTACAGCAAGTATGTTGCACCTGTTAATTTACAGTATACAATCTCCACATAATAAAAGTAAGGCCATTTAAAGCAGGTAAAATAAGTACTGAACACGTTACCATTTCTCTGTAAATATATTTCTAAAAGTGCTATTGACATGACATTTTCACCACATGTTGGTAACAACCCATGTAATCCATACGTACAAAGAAACCAAAACAGATAAGTTCAGAAATTGTTGTGTAATACAATGGAATGGCAGGGAAAAAGTATTAAACACGCTAACTGAAATTTATTTAGTACTTCGTACAAAATCCTTTGTTGGTAATGATGGCTTTAAGACGCCTCTTGTATGGAGAAACTAGTCGCATGCATTGTTCATACTAGTTCATTATGACAGACTTACCTTTACATGGAGCCTTCCAGCACAGCGCCATCTTCCGGGTTCATGGGCTACGGCTATATGAATGGCCGGAGCCGCGATGGCATCAGTCCCGTGCACGAGAGCCCTCGGCTGTGACACGGTTTGGCACAGCTATGCTGTTCTTTCAGAGCGCACATGCCAGTGACGTCACCGGCTGCATGCTGTGTGAATATCTTTAAACCGTGCAAGTTTTGGAGATATTCAGTCCCTACAGGTAAGCCTTATTATAGGCACAACTTGAGACTTCACTACCGCTTTGAGTAATGCACTGCTAACTAGGCCCATATAGTCACACCACTAGATTAATTAATGGTTGGGTATTGTGTATTACTGAAATTCATCAAAATAATTCAAATGAGGCCACTCAGCAGTTTTCCCCAGCTGCTGGATGGCTCAATCTATAGTTGATTTGACTACTTGCTAAAAGTCATTTTACTATTTCTGTTCAATACCTACGTCATTCTCCACTATATAGTCTTCCTTCAACTGCCCTACTTTTTGTGTGGTCTGGTGCGATTTCAAGTTGCGCGCTCCCGCTACCCGGAAATGCAAATCGTGTGTGTTTGCACATCACTGTAGCAGAATTTCTACTATAGGGCGGCAGGAAAGCGGTTAAACACTGATAATTAACAATTTGATGCCCGGCCAATTGCAGTATGGCGTCCAGAAAAATGCACTCGCTTTCCGGGAGGCCGCCATTTGGCATACTCCCGCACATGCGCAGTTCGCACGCTTGCAGAGCCGTGCAGCGGCGCGATCTGTCACCGGCCGTGTACCTCGGACATGGTCGATGACAGATCTGAGTATCGGCCCTGTTGCCGGTACCATGTGACCTGCTGTGGCCAAATCACAGCTAAGCACAAAAAAAAAAAAAAACACCCTGAATGAATCAATATCATTCAGGTAAATGCTTGCTTATAGCAAAGTAATTCTTTGCTATAAGCAAATTGTGTAAAATAAAAAAGAAAAAACTGATCACTTCCCCAAAGTAGTACAATGTTACTATGGTAACATTGTACAACTTTGGACATAGTGAAATATGAAAAAAAGATCTTAACAAAAAAAAAAAATGTAATAATAAAAAAAAAAAAAATATCTATTTTTTCACACTGTCACCAGTCAGTGTCCCTGATCACCGCCATGCCAGTTATATGATGACGCTGTACTGCACTGGTGACACTATGTAAAAAGAAAATAGTGAAAATTTATTTTTTTTATTTTTTCATTTTCCGAAAAATTATGACAAAAAAATTACAATTTCAAAAAACTCGCCATGCCTCTTATGAAGTACGTCGGACTGTCTACTCTGCAAAAAGGGGTCATTTGGGGGATATCTGTACTGTTCTGACATTCTTGGACCTCAAGAAATTAGATTGGCTGTCAGTACTTCAGGATTGATCAATATTCAGATCTATACCATAGTTTGTGAACTCTATAACTTTCTTACAAACTAAAAAATACATCCTAATTTGGGTTATTTTCACCAAAGACATGTAGTAAAATACATCTCGCCTAAATTTATGTAGAACAATTATTTATTTGCAAACTTTTATAACAGAAACAAAGAAAAACGTTTTTTTTTTTTCAAAATTTTCGGTCTTTTTTTTTTTATTGAGCAAAAAATTAAAACCCCGGCGATGATTAAATACTACCAAAAGAAAGCTCTAGATGTGTGAAGAAAATCATAAAATTTTAGTTTGGGTACAGTGTTGTATGACCGCGCAATTGTCATTCAGAGAGTGCTGAAACCTGAAAAATGGCCTGGGCAGGAAGGTGTAAAATTGCCCGGTATTGAATTGGTTAAAGCGCTTGTTTGTCAGCATAAATGTAAATCTTTGCATTCTGGTTCTTGACTGTAATTTGCTGTATTCACTCATTTACTGCCAATCAAATAGGCACACATTTTTAGAGCCAATTATCTGTGCGTTAACTTTCTCCTTTTCTTTACATTTTTATGTAAAAGGCTGCAGAATACATTCTGGAAAAGGTTAAGAGGGCAGAGAAAAAGTTGGAAGATAACCCATATGACCTCAACGCATGGAGCTTTCTCATTCACAGGTTTAGTGACCTAGGATTACATTACGTTCTCTCTGTCCCAAAAATGGCATAACATTACTCTTGGTCTGTACACATGTGTAATTCTGTACATGCTGTTTATTCAAATTCTAGAATCTGCCTATAGACAAAGCCCGGAAGACTTATGAGCGTCTAGTGCCCAGTTCCCACGTTGTGGCAGATTCTGGAAACTTTACATTGGAGCTGAGGTTAATATATATATTTTGTTTTGATTTTTTTTTTTTTTAATATTTTATATGGGTTTGCAAACACTACACTGCATTGACTATATCGAATTAAGACGGGACAACACACATAGAACACATTAGGTTCAATAATTTTTTTTATGTAAATCAGGTTTAAAGTTTTAGCTTCTGACTTTGCCAACGTGCTACTACACTGATGACTGTTGTGTAGTAATACTGCAACAACATTAAAACATTTTAATTGTATGGAGTGCTTTAGACTTTTATTTGTCGTGTCAATTTATTGCCTCCTGTGTCATTTATTATTAGATCTAATCAAATTTCTACCCAATACTATTGCAAAATATTTTGAATGGGATCCTGGAAAAGTAGTAGTGTTTTATAATAAAATATTACGTAATGTTTTCATGTGGGTGTTGTAAAATACTATGTATTTCTTTAGCATTATGCCGTTTGCATGAGAAATAACCAACATTTCCTCCGCAGCTTTCATTCCAGTAGTTTACCACCTCAACAGTTACATACATTCTATTGAAAAGGTTTGACAGGTACCCACTCCCACTTCCGCGGAGTTGTCTTTCCCTCTTCTTCCCGCGCCGGCTTCTGTGACAGCCGGGTGCCCACTGCGCATGCGCGAGAAGCGCTGCGCTTTGTGAATGGCCCGGCGCCTTCTGGGACCTGTCATGTGTCCCAGAAAACATTGGACCATTCACAAAGCGCAGCGCATGCGCAGTGGGCACCCGGCTGTCACAGAAGCCAGCGCGGGAAGACTGTGCAGCGCTGGAGCGAGGAACAGGTAAGGCCCTGCAGGAGAGAACAGCTGAGCGGCCGGCCCGGTATTCTGACATGGTGGCGGCAGAAATACCGGACCGGCCGCTTTATATTCGCTCCATAAGACACACTGACATTTTCCCCCCCTTTTTTGGGGGGAAAAAAGTGCGTCTTATGGAGGGAAAAATACGGTATTTCTTTAGCATTATGCCGTTTGCATGAGAAATAACCAACATTTCCTCCGCAGCTTTCATTCCAGTAGTTTACCACCTCAACAGTTACGTACATTCTATTCAAAAGGTTTGTGATGCTCAGCAAAACACCCAGATTGTTGTACTCTAGGTAGCTGTTTATTGATGTTTAAATCTTTGGAATGGAAATGGTTTAGCACATTTTGTTAGATGGGTTTTAAACATGCTTTTTATGTTGGCACTCACTATACATTAAATGGGAGTTCATACAAAAGACAGTAAAAATAATTGGGTACTGGCCTGGTGGAAGCTATTATTCCTACCTTTTTCTGAATGTCTGTCGGTTTTTGGCATCCTCTGTATGCGAGGGGTTTACTGCATCAGAATAGGTTAAAGAGGAAGAGTCAGATGTTTTAACTGTAGGCTGACAGTACTGATGTGAATGTACAATATATATGTAAAGCGCTGTGTAAATTGACAGCGCTATAGAAGTACCTGAAATAAATAAATACTGATATGATGAATGGATAAAAATGGCTTCACTAGGGCAGAGCTTGGCTTCTGTCAAAGCGCTTTGACTAAATTGTCACACCACACTTTATTCACAGCTCTCCTTTTGATGATTCATTGTTTTTTTGTACACTTCTTAAAGTGAACAGTGTATTTATATATGGGGAATATCTAAACAATAAAAAATCTCTTGGGTCTTTGTACAACCTCTCCGCTATACATATAGTTTTTTTTTTAAAACTGAAATCCAGAGATTCAGCCTTTGGAAATGTGCAGAAGTCATAGAGGTAACATGTATCTAATTGGACTTAACTCAGTGTGTGGCTGAATTCCTGAAATTCAGCTTTAAAGTGGCTGTTTACTCAAAAGCTAACTAAGGCTAAACATTAAACTCCAGGTAGGTCTGCCACAATCCTTCCACTTCATAAGATCAGGTTCTGGTCCGGCTCATGAGATAGCAGAGGTGAAGATTGGATGACCGCACATAGACATTCGTAAGATCCAAAGGTTTTAATCAAAGGAGAACTAGTGTTGGCAGGCGCTTAATCGTAACACTTTACAAACAAGAGTTCTACCATTTAGATAGTTTCTCAATCTGTCCAGCTGCAGCTGATCTGCGTTTATGTTCAAACAACAAGACTCGCGTTAACCCATGAAAACAAGTAATGAATATATAACAAAAACAAATATCAATGCATATTGACACAATCTGAAGAGCTGAACAAAATTCTGTTTAGAAACATGGGATGCCAAGGAGGAGAGGGGCAACCTGGATTTACTAAAAAGTGAGTAACATCCCATTAATAATTTAACCCCATGGGGACACTGGTTTGTAACTGAAAAATCCAGTAAACCTCTCTCTTACACAGACTTCCAGAAAGGTGGCTATGCTTTTGGGTTCCTAACTGATTCTATAGCCTGTACTGAGTGCTGCGATTTTTAGTGTATTTATTTTTGTGATTTGTGGGAGGCAATGTTCTGAGCCTTTTTTTTAAGGTTTAATGTATATGTATACACTGAGCAATTTTAGATCGGATATCGCCCCCTACTGTTTTAAATATGCATTGATATGATTTGTTTTTGTTATATATTCGTTATTTTGTTTTCATGAGTTTTTAATGTGAGTCTTGTTTTTTAAGCATAAATAAATCTTTTGGATCTTATGTATATCAAAATGCGGTCAGCCAGTCTTCATCTCTGCTAAGGGTAAACCTAATCCCATCCCTATTCTATCTAACCCTGTAAAGAAAAGATCTGTGTACTTACCCATTCTTAAGGAGAGATTGCACAGGGCTGCAAATGCCTGGGAGATGAGGTCGCTAATGGGCTTACTATGGGGCGTCTGTAGGCTGTCCCTCCTCTACACTGTAGGTACCGCTGACAGCTGATCATGGGACCGGAGCAGCTTCAGAATGGGCAGGTATACAGGTCTTTCTTTTACTGGGTGAGATTGAATAGGCTTAGAATGGTGGTGAGAGTAGGTTTAGCCTTAGAGTTTGACTGAATTTCAACTTTAAGCTCACATTTTTATTAATCATCTCCATTGTCTGACTGGCGAAGGTGAAAATGTTACACATCTGGCACTCCAGCTTGCACCGTGAGAATTTCAGTTGTGTGTGGAAGGCCTAAAGCTGGCCATTTACAAAGGTGCATGATTGCATGAGTGTTCCCCAACAGTTAGATTTTCAGGAGATCTGAATGGCATCAAATATGCACTTGTCTGAGTTTGTAGGGTAATCAAGTATTCTGGGATCCTTCATTTCAATCCTATTTCCTCTATTGTATTTCCAGGTTGTTGCACAGTATGGTCAGATTGTAAGTAACAGAAGAGCTCAGATGACATTTGAATGTATGGGTACAATGTGACTGCTCTGAGATTTTAGTGCAGATGTTTGCAGACTTTTGTGCAAAAGAGCAGATGCTTGGGTTGGACGTGGAGTTGAGAATGTGAATCAAGTTTCTGCCATGTTGTATGTACAGTATGTATTTAGTCAACCTTCTTTTTTTTTTTTTTTTCTAACTGTAAGTAGATGATTCTTTTTCTATGGAAAGAACGAATCACTTCTCTGGTAGATCCCTTTGAACATCTGTTCTTTTGGGGTGCATGGAGGGAGGAATGTAATCTGCTCTGCCATGTTTACATTATCCGTACTGTTTAGACTAAGATGCATCTATGCTCTGTGCTGCCCACATTTCCCCCACCTCTTTCAATCTACAGGTTTGTGGGAGAGTTGGTTAATAGACATGCCTACAGATGTTTCCATCAAGGTCATGCCTGCCCGGTCAGTGATTCTTGTATGTGTGCCACATCCTATGCTGAGACTGTTTGAGAACTGGGGTTGTCACAGCTATGAATGAATGACAGTTCTACTCCAAATATGATCAGACATTTTATTGTGTGCAAATTAAATAGATTGTTATGTCATGGTGGTTGCACCTAAAAGGTATTTTAGTAGTGATAATACTTTCACTTCGAAGAACTGTCTTTAAAAGTTTTTTGCAGGTATAATAGGCAAGTACACCTTTTTAAGTACCTATCTAACTGCAGCATCCTTGCTGTCACAGCTACATTCTGGAAGTTCTGACAAGCAAACCTTTGGCACATCGTGAAAGTGACAAAGCTTATCTGCTTCAAGTTTACCTGGAAGTATTAAAGCTTTACCTGTCAGAATGGCCTAGAATTCAGTTGTAACAGCAAGGTCTTGGAGTTGCAACTGAATAGCAGATTTCTATTTTAATGAGAGTTCATTTAAAGACTAATTACAGCTAATAACCATTGGGTTTGGTTCACACCTACAGGTGCAAGCAGCAGTGGGCTCTTTCCCATGTGTCATATGTAGGGTAGCCAATTCATTTCATCAGGCTGCACTACACACGAGAAACGCAGAAAAGAAGTCCATGACTTTCCAAAAATATGCTGCACTTAACCACATTTGTAGGGGTGCTATTGTCATTTAGTGGTGCCACCACGTATGTGTCTACTAAAGCGCAGCATTCCTGACATACAAAGATCTGAAGCGGGCCTAAAATGTTATACTTGCCTGCTCTGTGCACTGGAATTGCACGGAGCGGACCCTAACCCTCTTGGGTCTCTCGATGCTCTCAGCCAAGCCTGTGAGCAGGGATTGCATTAAGGTAAACTTTAAAGTGTGTTCTTTATTTAAAAAAATTAAAAAATCTTTCTCTTCTCGGTACAATGATCTTGTGCGGAGCGGTCCCCTCTTTGGACAGAGGAGAGAAGAGCTTCAACAGCGCTGGATCAGTTTTTTTTTTTTTTTGTTTAACCATGAAGGTGCCACACATACACTATTTCTGTACTTTATGACTTTTCTTTCATGCTTCAGCTGATCATAAATGTGCAGAATTGTTCCGTCTGT